GAATTCATTAATTAATTATGCTGTTTTATTATCTGAGTCTGAATGATCTTTTACTTTTATTTTGAAAAAATGACCGTATTCTCTGGCTTACATCTCGATCACTTAAGCGCCCAAATTTAACCCACAAGTAGCAAAATATGTAAGAAGCAGACATCTCTGGAAAGTTTCTTTGCAACAGGAGAAAGGCCCAGTGAAGGACCCACAGACTGCCAAGGTATGGATTCGCAACCCATTTGTCAGCAAATCAGGTGAATCCAGCATGGCTCTGCAAGAAAATCAACTGATCGAGATTCCAAATGATGGCGGCCTTTTGGGGCCGTTCACATATTGCATATTTCTAGAGTTTGCACAGGTTGGTTCTTTCCAATGGAGGTGCGCGGCATGACCGCAAGTCACATGACAAGAATTGATAGCTCAGCTTCAGCTTGTATTGATTATTGACATTTAAGTGAGACAAATTTTCTAAGACAAACACAAAACATGCAAACACTGCAGTGCTTTGTACTTTTCTCTATAAATAAAACTTGTATCAGAGCGACAGCAATGTTTTATTAGCTTGTCACCCTCCACGCCACCGATGTTTCCTTTTATATTTTACATTAGGCTATTATTTGTGCATAAACATATCTAGATATAGTAATAAACATACTATTACTAAGCAAACTTACATAAGCGATAATATCATTTAATGTGGAGGGGGGCCTTACAATATTTTCCAGGGGAAAAGGGGGTCTCAAGCAAAAAAAGGTTGGGAACCACTGGTTTAGATGATAGTGAAATGAAGCGTTCTGAACTAGTGAACCATTCAACTCAATTATATCGAAAAAAAAGTTCATTACTCAAAGCTTTTCAAATCACAGCTTAATGAGGCCCTCTTCTGTTTTGTAAAATTGTCAAATATTAAAAACCGACCAACACAATCATGTAGTAATACTACAATAGTATTAAATACAAATTACCCGATTACTGTAGTCTTTTTACATAGAAGGAATAAAGAACATATACACCACCTATGACTGTAGTAAAATCAATGTGTTCAAAAATATTTACGTTTATTGTATTCCAACTGCTCCTGCACCCACTCGGTTCAAACAAGAATCAAATCAGGGATTGCTGCATGCAAGGTGAATGCTCGAAAGAGGAGGCTATGGTACCGAAGCTTTTGCGCTGAACTCGCCAGCTGGCCTCAGTTTTACACTATAAAACACCATGTTTTAGCATTTATTAAAAATAGTTAAATAAGTAAATCAACTAATACACTTTAGTATGGTTCAAAAGTTTTTAACTAAAAATTACTATTGTATTTTAGTTGAACTACTGGTGCATGGGACCAGTGCAGTGCTTTGAAATAGTAGAAATGTAAATAACTGACGCCTCATCTCTTGTTATACATTTTAATAACCCACTAGGGTGTTTAAACCTTTGATTCAAAATTCGAAGCAGTCACCAGGGTATAGGCAAAAATGAAGCTTCGGACATCACTGATCATGTGATTATGGCAAAATTAATTAAGCTCTGGTACACTGCTTCATTGTGAGATTATTTTTTAAACATGCTTTGACGCCTTGGTGCACAGCGTCACATCACTAGATTCCAGCATTCATCATATTCAAATAAACAGCATTTTGACTAGAGCTGTTTAAATTAGACCAACTCTGTCAAGTGTGAACACAACCTAAGATGTGAAAATCCATTGTAGAACGCGATATTGGAGGATGAACAGATTCCCATACCAATCCTGTATAAATTTTGCATTTCAGTAAACATTTGCTACAGATTCTTAAAGAGACAGTTCACCTAAAAATTAAAATGTACTCACTATATACTAACCCTCTTGTGGTTCCAAACCCTTTTGACTTTCATTTCTCTGTTAAACACAAAAGAAGACATTTTGAAAAAAGCTGAAAACTGGTAACCATTCACATCCATAGAAGTAAAGGATTACAGGTTTCCAAATTTCTTAACAGAAGAAAGTCAAACTACTTTGGCACAGGTGAAGGCTGAGTAAATGATGACAGAATTTTCATCTTTGAGTGAACTTTCCCTTTAAATGTACTCTTTTTAAATCAATAAGCCCTTACATTGTTACTTATTTATATCATATCACAAAATAGTGCTTCAGAACTTGACTAAATTTTAATACAAAATATTATTAGCAAAGAACATCACTAGCAGGAAATGGTCCAGCCATGCAGTTACGCATTCTCTAAGCACATGCGGTGTGTCAGATCTTTATGTGTTTTGGTGATCATGTAATATGTTACATGGTGCTTTTTTTAAACACTGTATTGCACATTAAAGACCAATACGGTATATATCACATGCCTAATTTGAATGATAATAAATCAATGACCTGCCAATGAATCAGTCGGGCTCTAACAGTGACATACTGCATTAATTCATTCGTGTTCTGTATTAACAGTACAGTAGGTTTCCCAGTATAAAGGTTTTAATGACTATTGCTGCACAAATTCTTTGGACCAACCGATGCTTTAAAACGTATCGTCTAGAACCGCTATACAAGGACAAAGGGCTACAGAGACCTGATTATATATATATATATATATATATACGACTCTGTATAATGAGGATGTGGCATTAACTGTGCCACCATAAAGGGCAAAAAAACACACCCTCATTTAATGGTGTGGAGAAGCAAATGGCCTTCAAATGGAGGTGGATGTTGAACATCCTCAAGAGATTTAAACTGGTGACCAGTCTGATTAGAACAGTGAAAACAAAGCAATAACAACATTAACTTCCTCTGCAGTCTTTCAAAAATCATGTCGACCTTTTTTTTTTCCTTTCATTGCTCGATGCTGGTCAGTTATGGTCATTGCATGGTCAGCCAGATCCAGCAGGCCCAAACAATCTGTTTGAACTGAAGCAGATACACAGCCAGCGCCGTCTGCAGCTCTTCGCAGGCTCGCTGGGGTCTCCGGCGGTCCGTACAGTATAATGCTAGACCCAACGCTGACAGCAGCAGGAACAGACAGGTCAGCAGGGCCAGGTGCAAACGGCTCTGTGGGGTGTCGTATACTGAAACACAAAAGTCAGAGTGACATACTACCTTCTTTAATTTGGATTCGTAACAGCTTAAAGATACATAAATATTGTTTAAAAACATTTATTTTTATCAGGTTATTAAATACAGTTGTGTGGCAGCAGTCTGTGAATATATCCAGCTTCTAATAGTAAAAAATATATAAATGTTATTATTTATAATCATACTTCATAAAAACCCCTATTAGCATGGAATGTTAGTCTTGTTTATAAATCTGCCGCTATGCTGACACATAGGCATTTGTAGCTCCACCTTCTTTTGAGAAGAGCACAATCCCATTCGAATTTAAAGTGACAGTCACCAAACGGCACAATTAGGATAAAAGCCGAAAAGGGGCAGTTTTAAAGAGTTATGATAAAATTTTAGAAGGCACTTAATTTACATCTTTTGCAAAGGGTGCATAATAGGGTTCCTTTAACGAATCATGCTTTTTAAATATTTGAATAATCAAGCTATTTGTGAATGTGAAAGGACTGTGAAGTTTTAAAGTGCATAATAAACAAGTTAAAGTCTCTTAAATCAATTCTGAATGCCTGAAATAAGTCACTGTAAATTCCGTTCTACGTCAATCTATAAAACACTGGTATAAAACCAGGATTAAATCATAAGCTACTTGTAAACAATGTCAGCAAGTGATGGGAGAAATTAAGTTTTCATGGCTAAAAAATAATTGAACAATTGGCCTTGGTAAAATAATTCAAAATACCATATGCATGGGAAACAAAACCATGTAAATAGTATAAAAACTTTTATTTAATTAACTTAATTTAATTAGAACTAAACCAGCAAACTACTTCTTATTTTCTGACTGACTAATTTGCTGGAATGCTCACAGTTTTGAGATATTGTTATAGCTTTTTATTCTCTTTTCGTCATCTACAGTATATGTTTATCTGCTCTAATACAATCTGTGTGGTAAAAAGCACTATAGAAATTCTGATGAATTGAAATAAGAAACATACAGTATAATACAAATTGGTGTGTTTATTTCCGTGCTCTTTATACATCACTTGGAATCTATTTATTCTTTTTTCCTTTTGCTTAGTCCCTTTATTCATCAGCGGTCGCCCCAGCGGAATGAACTGCCAACTTATCCAGCATATGTTTTACAAAGCGGCTGCACTTCCAGGGAGAACATGCAAACTCCACACATACGATAAATGCCAACTGGCCCTACTGGGACTTGAACAAGCAACCTTCTTGCTATGAGGTGGCAGTGCTAACCCCTGGGCCACCGTGTCACTGTTTGGAATATATTTGGAAAACAAAATCTAATTTTAGAGGCTAATAATTTATTTTTTATCTGTGCAAGTACAACAGCATTTATTTGATCGAAATTCTAAAATATTTGAAACTATTAGTTAACAATGATCTATAGGAACGCATCAGAGGTGCATTTTTTACTAGATAAATAAGAATTCCACTATGCTAACAGCCTTAAAAAAATAAAACAAAAACATTAAAAACAAGGCTACTTGGATTTGCATGGATGGCATATAACTTAATATAATATTTCAAAATTGAAGCACCATCCATGTGCACTGTAATAGCCACAGAAAAGTGCAACTCAAAATCCAATGTACCAGAGGCCTGATGTACAAAGCCAGTTTGGGTTTTAAACCATAGCTAATTTTGCATTTAGTTTGAGCAAACATTCTTTGGGCTTAAGAAAGTGGGTTGACTGGGTTCTATTGACTGATTTGCGTTGATATACAGTTGAAGTCAGAATTATTACCACCACCCCTCCCCCGAATTGATAGACCCCCTGTTTATTTTTTTAACACATTTTTAAACATAATAGTTTTAATTACTAATTTCTAATAACATTTTTTTTAATCTTTGCTCTGATGACAGCAAATAATATTTGACTAGATATTTTACACTTCTATACATATATACGGATAAGACACTTCTATACAGCTTAAAGTGACATTTACCTTAACTAGGTTAATTAATTTAACTAGGCAGGTTAGGGTAATTAGGCAAGTTATTGTATAACGATGGTTTGTTCTGTAGACTATTGACAAAAAAAAAAAAAAAAACAGCTTAAAGGGGCTAATAATTTAGTTCTTAAAATGGTGTTTAAAAAAATGCTTTTATTCTAGCCGAAATTAAACAAATAAGAGTTTCTCCAGAAGAAATAATATTATCAGACATACTGTGAATTTTTATTTTGTTTTCGGTCTGTTAAACACAATTTGGGAAATATTTAAAAAAGAAAAAGAAAAACGAAGAGGGCTAATAATTCTGACTTCCCAAACTTTTGTTGCTCCTTGTCAATGTGCTTTTTCAAATTCATGATTGTTTTCTGTTAATTATATGTCTTAATCTTCAACAGAGAAGTGAACTGCTGAATCTCTCAAGGAATGAATCAAACTGACTCTCTCATGTGTTGCATTATTGGCCATTCGCTGCACATGTACTTTTCAGGTACATGCACTAACCTCAAGTTGACAGAGAAAGTTTATTTCAAGTACTGTAAAACCACTTAACCTGATCTTAACATGGTTGGATTTTTCTTTGGTTTTCTCAACATAAACTTTACTTTGCAACACAGAGAGTTTGTTCAACAGGCCTCAGAATGCATGCATGCAAAATAATAAAATAATAATAAAATTGGTAACACTTTACAATAAGGTTCATTAGTTAATGCATTTACTAACATGAACTAATCATGAACAACACGTGTACAGCATTTATTAATCATATTTGAACATTTACTAATGCATTATTAACATTCAAGTTCATGCTTGTTAACATTAGTTAATGTACCATGAGTTAACATGAACTAACAATGAATAACTGTATTTTCATTAACTAACATTTATTAACATTAATAAATACTGTAGTAAATGTATTGTTCAATGTTTGTTCATAATAGTAAATGCATTAATTAACATTAACTAATGAACCTTATTGTAAAGTGTGACCAAATAATTAAATTAATACATAATGAATCATTCAAATCAATCAATCATGCATTTTTTCATGCATTATTGAGATCCACCACACTGTTTAGTTTACTTACCTCCTAAACAGTCATAATACGGAATGTCTGGAACCCAACATATAAAAGATGACAATCAGCTTTTAGGCTCGAGATTTAGCTACTCAAAATCTTCGTAAAACCATAAAAGAGTACAGTAATCAAATGTGGAATCACAGTAAATGTTGTTGGGCAACTTTTTGGTGTGCAATGACTAGTCGGTCTATTAGCAATGCACATCATTGCTGTAATATACATGACTAGTCCATATGGAACAAAATATATCCTCCACACACGCACGCATGCATGCACGCACGCACACAGACACAAACACAAACACAAACACACACACACACACACACACACACACACACACACACACACACACACACACACACAAACACACACACACACACACACACACACACACACACACACACACACACACACACACACACACACACACACACACACACACACACACACACACACACACACACACAGCCCAACAGAAAGGAAATTGTTTTAGAGCTGAGTCTCATACATCTCTACATTAGTAACAACAAGACTATTATATCTACAGTATGGAGTCAGAAGTGACAATATTAATTGTATAACCTTTATTGAATTTTGTTAAAGTCTTTCAACAAGATGAGATCCTAAGAGAAAGACAAAATTTAATTACCTTTTTTTTAAATTCCTTGTTTCATTACCACAACGATCTTATTGGCACAGATTGCATGCTGCCTAATTTGCATGTATAATTAATCTGGAAAGTAAATCACTTGGGCACAATTGTGCATCCTCCTCTTTCTTTCTTTCTTTCTTTCTTTTTTTTTCAAAATGAGAGGAATTATTAAGCGCAGCTCTCAAAGAGAGAATCTTTTACAAGCCACTTCAGCATGTTTAATTTACTTAGTACTTTAAGTGCCAGCTCTTAATAACGCAGAAATCCACTAAAAGAGCAGTTCAAAAGAGACTCTGGGGATTTGAGGGACTGCTGGAGCAGATTTGTTTAAATTGTCTCACCATGAACAGTGATCTCTGGCTCTCTGAAGCGAACCCGTCTCTCAGTTTTTCTCTTGCGCGATGGGTCTGACTCCACATTGCTCACATTTGACCTTTTTAGGATAGAGGTGGGCAGTTTTTCATGTATGACCTAAAATCAGAAAGAAAAACACTTACTTGCACAATGTTTGATAGAGACAATATTAAGGTTGTCTGACTGTGGTAGTAAACTTAAGACCTTCAGCTGCAGATTCCTGTAACCTTTTGGCATTAACACACAATTTTCATGTGACTTGACTGTGTGCAGTAAAATGTCATGACATTTTAACAGCAAGAAGTAGCAGAGTGGAAAACAACAAGCTGAGTTGTGGGATAATGATGTGATTAATCTACAGTAGTGTAAAGAAACAAATTATAAATACTCAAACTACTGTAATAAAGTGTTTTTTTTTTCCTCAGGAATTGTAATTTATTAAGTAGTTTTCAAAATGTGTACTTTTACTTTACCTTGAGTACATTTTTAATGCTGTATCTCTGTACTTTTACTACTTTCACAGTCTTTTTACAGTCACTACTTTATTTATTTATTTTTTGTCTATGGGGACTAGAACAATCAGTCCTGTGATTCCTGTCCAATCAAATCGCACATAGAAGTAAAGAGGTAAATCGCATAATAACAAACTACTTCAAGACATGGGCGATTTATAAATGCAGTAAACTGTTTGGAAGCATTAAAAGTGTCCAAGAAGGTGTACAAAATCTAAAGACTGTTAAGATGCATGTTACTGATGAGAAGATGATAAGTGTTTACTGTATGAAGACCGAAATGTCCCAAAACACTCAGCAGACACAAGACGTCAACATGACGTCAGATTAAAGTTGTACCCTAATGTCGTGGGGACGTTGCATTTTGTTTGGAAACAAAAATCGTGTTGACATCAGAACCCAACATCACATCAACCGTCTAACCTAAAATCAACAATATATCAATGTCTACAATGTTACAGCTTGACATTGTGTGGATGTTACTACTATGACGTCTATCAGACATTGGATTTTGGTTGCCATACCTAATGAATAAATGTCAGTATTTGACGTCTATATGACGTTGGTTTAAGATGTTGGCTCGACGTTGAATTTTGGTCACTTTTTAACAACCTAAAATCAACAAAATATCAACGTCATTTGACGTCATAATTGGACATCAAAATAACATTGTCCTTATACAATGGCTAGACAATGAATTTATTTAATTTTAATTATTAATTAATTTAATTTTTATTAATTTTTCTATGGTTTTAATATATTTCATATTTGAAGTGCTTTGGCAATACTGTACTTAATGTCATGACAATAAAGCAACTTGAACTTGAATTTTCGTCATCTGACATCAAACTAAATCGAACCTAATATTAATGTCTTATGATGTTGTGTGCCTGCTAGGCAATAGTTAATGCACTTTTACACATCTACAAATTACAATGTAAATGCATCAGCTTTTTACAGGGTAATACTCACTACCCACTACTCTTGAGTCCTTTTGAAAGGTCTACTTTTTATTCATACTTTGAGTAATATTTACATCAAATACTTTTACTCTACTTACACTACATTTTTAGGCAAGTCTTGTAAAAATAATTTTACTTGAGTATGATTTTTCAGTACACTGTCCACCACTGTGACCCCATAGACAGTAGAATTGCAATGCATTTAAAAATACACACATTTCATGTAAAAAAAAAATATTATCTTTCTAACTGGTCCAACTTTCAGTTTTTCGAAAACTGACCTGGAAAACTTGGAAAAATCTTATTGACTTAACATGGGAACATGTTAAATAAACACAAAATCTTACAAAATAGAAGACACCATCAAGCTTGTGTAAAACTATATTAAACTGAGTACACAGTTGTTCCCCTAAATTGCAAGAGCAACCAAAACTTGCCTATTGACTTATAATGGTGAAGAAACTCCCATGCATTCATTCATTCATTGATTTATTCATTCATTCACTCATTGATTCACTCATTCATTTTCTTTTCAGCTCAGTCCCTTTATTAATCAGGGGTCACCACAGAGGAATGAACTGCAAACTCATCCAGCATGTGTTTTACGCAGCGGATAGCCTTCCAGCCACAACCCAGCACTGCAAAACACCCGTACACTCTTGCTTTCACACCCACACAATCACTATGGACAATTAAGCTCACTCAATTCACCTATAGTGCATGTCTTTGGACTGTGGGGGAAATGCTAAACTGTCCGTAGTGTATGTGTGTGAATGAGAATGTATGGATGTTTCCCATCGATAGGTTGCGGCTGGAAGGGCATCCGCTGCGTAAAACATTTGCTGGATAAGTTGGTGATTCATTCCACTGTGGTGACCTCAGATTAATAAAGGGACTAAGCCAAAAAGAAAATGAATGAATTAATGAATAAACAGGGTATCATAGAAAATGTTACTGAAAATTCTTTACACCGGATTCTCTTTATAGTTTTACCTTAGTTTTAAGAGTGTCTTGTAGTGTGTATGGCTCTTTTCTGTGTCGTAGCTCAGAGTTTCTGTCTTTATGGCTATAAGAGATGCTGCTCAGAGCATCGCTGAAAGACTCTGTGGCTGAGAACCTCTTGGATAGTGTCGACACACACTCTCCCAACGAATCTGCCAAACACAAACAATAAGAGGAGGACATATTAGTAGACTTCACTTCAGCAAATAAAGGAATTCACACATTTGTTAAGCAGAGAACCATTTAGCACTGTACCTATGACACAGGTGATATGTTGTGGCGAAAGCATTTTTCTTTCAGAATGCTGAGTCTGCAGCCGAGTTTGACATTGGTGACACATTGCTTGCCCTATACAATACATTTTTCATCATCTACTGTAGGAAACAGGCAAGGGTGAAGATGCAGAGCGACCCGGTCTCTGCAGAAAACTAGCAAAGCATTTTTGCTCGCAAAAATGCCCTGGCCTCAAACTGTCAAATGCACGATGGCGGCTTTTCAGCTGCAGATCTAAAGCACCATCAGCCTTGGACAGAAAGTGCATGCTTTGGAATAAATGTTTGGTTGTTCGGGTGATTTACCTCAGCTGTTTTTTATTGTACAGAAGGGTAAGTACAGTACACTTAAATGTAGTGCAGCTGCCTTGCTTCCTCCCTGAGTGGTCTAACCTAACCCACCCAAAGCCCTGTAAGTATATATATATATATATATATATATATATATATATATATATATATATATATATATATATATATATATATATATATATATATAAACACAATATAATTTTGCTTTAACAGTTAAAAAAGGTGACAGATTTTAAAACTATTTTCACTCATGTATTGCTAGGAAGATTTTTACAATTTTAAACACTGCGATTAGCTAATCTAGAGGCTGCGATATGATATTTATATGTATTATTTAATTTCCCCCACCCAGACCAGACCCCACCCAGAATGGTTCTGAATGACGTCTGTGTGTGACAGTCTTACTAACCAATTGAGTGAGCACACTTTAGTTCTGCCCAATCAGAATAGCGCAATTGAAATATGGGAAATGGCTACAATGAAAAAAAAAAAAAAAAACACTTCAGAAGCATCAATAGACTAATTGATATTAAAGAAAAGCAGGACATCGGTAATATGGGAAAATTTTGGTTTCAAAGTCACAAACACCGAACAAAACAAGTAATCTCTAGCTGCGTCCCAAATCGCATACTTATGCACTATTCTACGCCATTTTGTAGTATAAATAGTGTAAGTAGTTTGTTCACACTGAAAACTTTAAAAATAATAAGTGCACTTTAATTACCCGGATGATGCACTCATTCAGCTGCTAAAATTAAGTGTGTGGAATGATGGACACTTCACGCACTCAACGACCGCAGGTTTGCTTACGTAGCGGAAGGGGCAAAATTCTCCTACGAGAGTGATTATAGCGCCTCCCGATGGTCAATGCGGTAATACTCCCGGCAGGTATTACTTGATAATTCGGTTGTTTATTTCACTGATTTGGCAACCGTCAAACGTCATCAGGGAAACGCTTTGAACATCCGCCTAGTAAAAAAACATTAGTGTGCCATTTGGGACACCACTACATACATATACTATCCTGTTGAGTGTGTAAGTGCTTAAGTACATAGTTCATGAGTGCATAGTGTGCCATTTGGGACACAGTTTCTATGAATTGTTGCCACGGCATGAGCAAATACAACAACTGTTTTCAAAATCATCTTTTAGTCATAATAAAGACTATATATATATATATATATATATATATATAAATATATTAGACTTAGACTTAGAAAACTTTATTGATCCCGCAGGAAATTGCTTGCGTAATGACTGCCATAACACACAAACACAGAAACACAAAAACACAAGACAGAATAAATAAATTAAATAAGTGAAATAAGTCACATAAATCCAACCAATCTATAGAAGGAAACAGCCACAATACATAAATACACAAACTATTATATAAGATATTACACTTAAAAGAATCAGTGGTAACTAATACTATTAAGTCATATATCAAGTAATGAAAATAATATTAACCAAAACCAATAACATTACACATAAAACAATTGCACATAAAATATTTTAAGTAATAAAGTGATACAACACTCATTTAAAAAACAATGATATTGCACTAAAAATATTTAACACCTAAAAAAACTTACAAATATTGCACCTAATAGACTATTGCACATCCTAAAACATAATGCACAAACTTCTACACACTAAAACCCATAATAAGTAAATATACTGCACAAGCAGCAAGGTATTGCATAGATTACTGTAAGGGTAAGTGACTGAGGGAGACGTTATGAAGTCTGATAGCAGTGGGAAGGAAGGATTTTCTGTGGCGTTCTACATTGTACATAATTGACCGAAGTCTGCACAATGTTCTCCTTTCAGCCACATAAATATATAGTCTTTATTATGACTAAAAGATTATTTTGAAAACAGTTGTTGTATTTCCTCATGCCGTGGCAATACATACATATATACATACATAATAAAGATTTTTTGTTTGTTTGTAATGATATATATTTTGGGAGTTTCACAAACATCTTAAACAATCCTGTGTACTGGGATGAATGTGCTCACTGCACATATGAAGAGCTAATAAAATGTATAAAGGAATCAAAACAGCACCAGCAATTAAAATCTGCAACAAAGAGATGCATTTCTGACACTTTCTGACAACTATTAAGCAATTAAAAAACAAGCACGAGCACTCTGACATTTGTTTCATCTTCTGTATTTTTAATGGTTTACAAATCTTTAGTCTGTACTCATATTTAAAAAGATTTGCACTAGAGTGTATTATGCAGGTCTTGTTATACTTGTTTGGTGCACACCTGTGTTTATTTTTTATATTACAGAATTTTTTTTAAAGTGATTTCTCATAAGTCCATGTGGAATCAAATTGACTGTTATATAAGTGGTTCAGTTACTTGTATATTCTGTCTTGCCAATCTCAGCATAGACGGTCGCCAGCAGCTCCAGACTCCGCGCTGTGATGGGATGATCGTTACCTAACGCTCGCTGGTGGATTTTAGTGGCCTAAATGGAGAAAGAAATTCAAGAAAATACAATTACTTTACATTTCTTCAGGTTTATTCACTTTTGAAGCTTTCTGTCATATTTAGGACTGCACAATATGCAATGTTGTTGAGTATTGCAATAAAATATTTCCCAAAAGAAATGTGATTTGTATTAGCTATTTTGTATTGATTTATTGATGTAATGACTATACTAAAATAAACTGGAAATATACAGTGCTCAGCACAAACTGAGTAAATCACTTTTTGAATATGAATATTTTTAAAAATTAACATTTTTATCCATTTCTCAGTGAATATAGATGATGTATTTTAGTGCATTTAAAAAAAAAACAGTTTTTTTAAACAGATATATGTATTAAAATAATCCTTTAGTCACAAACATATTTAGAAATGTAAAAATAATACAATTAAATTCAATCAAAATATAGAGAAACAAAATTAGAACAAAATTAAAAAAAAAATTCTCTTGATTTTTCCTTTGTATTGAATTTGAATTTAATATTTTACTACAACATATAAATTTGGGGGTACTAGTTTTTGAACAGTTATCATAAGTTATTTTGTTAGATAAGCTCCAGATTTAGCTTCAGTACTGACTAATTTAATGTATATGCACAAATACAATAATGTAAAGCACCGCATAAAAAATCTTAATTAAAAAAAAAAAAAAATATATATATATATATATATATATATATATATAATTTTTTTTTTTTTTCAGGGTAAAAAAACAATGTTGAGGTACAAACATTTATGCACCCTCATGTGGTTTCAAACTGTTTGAGCTTCTTCTTTTGAACACAAAATAAGAAATTTTAAAGAATGTTTGAAACCATTGACATCCCTAGTTGGAAAAACAACTACCATGGAAGTCAAAAGTTCCAGGTTTCTAACATTCTTCAAAATATCTTTCGCTTGTTGTAAAATAACACAAATTATTATTATTTTTTAAAGAATGTTGGAAACCTGTAACCATTGACATCCATTGTAGGAAAAAACAACTACTATGGAAGAAAATGGCTACTGATTTCCATACTTTTTCCAGCAAATATATATTTTTGTGTTCAACAGAAAAACGAAAATTAGACAAATTGTGATTTTTGGGTGAACTGTCCCTTTAATAACTAAAAACCTTGTCAGATATTTTCATTCCTATTGACTGTTGTCACTTACTTTAACTTCCGCCGTTAGTGTTTACTTTCCACTATCTGCTCAGACTAGGTTAACCTTTGGGCCCAGTCTAGCGAATAGCAAAATAGCACCTGCTATATAAGCATAAACTCTATCTAATTGGTCAATTTTGAATAAACAACCAAGGCATGCAACAAATAAACTCGTCTCATCAGATTAATGTGAGTATTCACACCTTTTTACAGTACAGATATTGCATATAAAATTATCTCTAAATTTCTATTGTGCAGTCCTAGACTAGTTATATTGCATATTCTATATGATAATGTTCATACCTTGCCACTGTATTCCAAAGCAAGATGGGGTCTGAAAGAAAGGACAGAAACATTAGAAATAAAGGTACAAAAGGCATCACACACAATTTTTTTTTTCTCTCACATTAACAGGGTTCAACTTAAAGGATTTTTTCTACTGGCCTGATCTGACTTTTACTTGCCCTATCAAAATTTTCACTGGCACCATCAAAAAATAAAAATACATAATTAAATAATAATAATAATAATAATAATAATAATAATAATAATAATAAAAGAAGTTAATAGATATTTCTTAGCCACATATTTTAAATAATGTGTAAAAAATAATGTCTGTGAATCTAGAATTTAAATATTTTAAAAATGTTAATAAATATATAATGAGCAAAATTCATGCACTCCTTATTGTTGAGCCCTGCATTAGAAAAGCTTGATTAAATACATTGCATTGTGGAACATAATATTCCTACAAGCTAAAGTTCCATTCATACATGCATATTTATTCAGTGTACATACTGCATGAATAAAACAGCATGGAAGCACGTGCATCACAGTCTCAACATCACTGCACGTGTGAGGGAAAAGCTTGCATATGTCTGTTATTGATTGCCAAATCTATATCATTGATTATGCCTTTGGGACTTGGTTGACCCTTTTCTATTACCAGAGCCATAAAGAGTGAGAGAGCAAGAGCGTATATGTCAGACAATGTCACATATTTTACCCTTATATACCAGATGAATCATTGATATTGATATGGTTTATGTGAGTAAAAGCAATGACAATCCATTATGAAATGTGTCAGAGGAGATCAAGCAATACACTTTAAAATGAGCAGTTCAGCTAAAAAAATGAACATTCGGCCATCATTCACTCACGCTTGACTGGATTAAAACTAGTTTGAGCTTTTTATTCTGTTAAAAAAAAGAAGGTGTTTTAAAGAATGTTGGGCGGCTGTAACCATTGAAACAAATACTATGAAAGTCAATTGTAGAATGTTTCCAGCATTTTCAAAATATCTTCTTTTGTGTTCAACAGAACTCAAACTGGGGTGCATTTCCAAAACAATGATTTAACTCAAGGCTGAACAATTATAGTATGATGCATCATTTGGGAAAAGAATGTTGTAGTGACGAGTGTTTTCCAAAACCCACGAGTTCTCTGTCACAGATCTATCATTTGAACCAAAGTTATAAAGTAAAAATGCAAAAAGTGATGCTCTAAACGGGGGTGGTAACAACTTCTTTAGAGAAAAACGCTTTGGTTACTAAGTAACCCTCCACGTAATCCATGTATTAATCCACGTATTAATACACGTATGGGGATTTCGTTCAGAAAACCAATCGTCTGAAAGAGTATGTAAACAGGCCAATGAAATGCCAAATGAATTGGCAGCGTCAGCTTGCGCACCTGATGCTTGTTGCCATCAATTTAGCATAAAAGCACAGCCAAAGCAAGAAGACACTAACCTTTTTAAGCTGAAGAGACAGCTAAGGAACAATCATTATGGCGATGCAATATAGCATTTGGGTAACTTTAGTAAACAGAGCGTTCCCCTTCGGATGGGGAACTTCAATGCTATAAGTGGATTTAAACCACGTAATGGGAAATGTCTGAAAAAGCCATAATGACTGCACCTTACCTTCGCTTCCGATGAGAGGATGACCAGGCATTGCTTGGCCAGGAATCTGCAGGGCTCACCTAAGCAGGGAACTTTACTGACAGAGTGAATAAGCGCACATATCTCCGTGTTAAGGAGAATGGCGCAGCAAGCGTGTTTCAACACCTTATCCGAGTTGTTTCCTTAATCACCAAAGGTTACCTAATACCCTTGAGGAAACCGGCTCCACTCGTAGATTTGAAAACCTTGCAAATATATTAGGTGTCGCCCCAGCCCGCAGCTCTATTGATGTCTCTAAGAGAGGCGCCGCGTACCACGCCCAAGAGGATGCAAAGCTCCGAGTGGAGTGCGCATGCACTCCAGGAGACACGGCTCACCCTGGCTCTGGTAAGCAAGGGAGATGGCATCCCCTATCCAGTGGGCCAACCTCTGTTTCGATATGGCACTTCCCTGCTGTCAACCACCATAACAGACAAAGAGCTGATCAGATGATCTAAAGCTCTGAGTGCGGTCCGGATAATTGTCAAAGAGCGAACTGGACAATGTAATGAAAGAGCTGGCTCTGCCTGCTCCGTAGGCAGCGCTTGCAGGCTCACTACCTAGTCTTTAAACAGTGTGGTAGGAACCTTGGGCACATATTCGGGGCGGGGTCTCAGGACAACATGAGAGTAAGCTAGCCCAAATTACAGGCACGAGTCACTGACCGAAAAATGCCTCCATGTCCCTGACCCTCTAAATTAGGGGTCTCAAACTCGCGGCCCGCGGGCCATTTGCGGCCCTCATTGCAATATTTTGTGGCCCGCGCCGACCGCTGTACTCTGACAGAATCAGCGGAGCGGGGAGAGAGAGCGCTCCCCGCTCCGCTGATTCTATCCGTACACAGCGCGCTTGTCACTCAATGCGCGTTGTCGCGCGCGTTCTGATCAGCTGTGTTGTCGCGTGCGTACTCAAGAGCGGGTGATATCACGCGCCTACTGAAGGGCGGGACCGAGGGTGTGTCGCGTCGCAGGGGCACTTTTGATCATTTGATTGCCGTGAGATTGTGTTGATATTATAGGTAGATACAGACTGGTACAGACTGATGTGACTGGAGTGGGGTGGGGGTGTTTTATTTATACATATATACGCCTTTTTTAGGTGAGGGAATGGAAGTTTTGAGTAAATTCCCCCACTTTTTTCTCTAGGACTTCAATAAGTCAAAGTACAGGTCTAGACTTAATGATGATCATCTTCAAGCCATACTGAGGGTCTCAACTGCTTCCGCTCTAAAGCCAAATGTGGTTCAGATTTGTGAGAAGAGGCGCTGTCAAGTCTCTGGCAGTAAGGAGTAGGCAAAAGATGCCATGTTCAGAAGAACTGTTCATAATCTTCACTCAATGTTCTATTAATGTTCAGGACACTTCATGTTCAGAAGAAATAATTAAAACTGTTAATAATGACATTTGAGGACTTTTTTTTTTAAATCCCTTATGCGGCCCAACCTCACCCAGACTTTGCCTCCTGCGGCCCCCAGGTAAATTGAGTTTGAGACCCCTGCTCTAAATCAATGTCAACGTGACCAGCAGAGCTGTCCTCAGGACAGAAATAAAGATAATAAGTCGAGGTTCTAAGGTATCTGACGCAGGACGAGAACGAGGGCGAGATGCCAGGAGGGCATGAGAGGGGGGCGGGAGGGATTAAGTGAGAAACATCATGATGAGCGGAGATGGTAGCCACGTAACCTTGAGTGTGGAGGGCGACAGCTTGCTCTCGATGCTCTCCAGCTTCTCTTGTAGGAAAGAAAGTGCAACGCTGATCTGGCAATTTCGAGGGTCTTCTCTGTGAGAGACGCACCAATCAGTGAATAGACTCCAATTTAGGGCGTATGCGCGCCCGAGGAGGGGGCTCTTGCCTGAGTGATGGTATTAACCACCGCAGTCGGTAGGTTACCCAAGTCTTCCTCGCGTCTAAGGACCACATGTGGAGGTTCCAAAGATCGGGGTGAGGGTGCCAGATCGTGCCCTGTCCCTGAGAGAGTAGGTCCTCTCTCAAAGGGATCTACCAGGGGAGGGCCGCCGCGTGGAGGGAGAGCTCTGACATCCAGGTCCAGTTGGGCCAGAGGGGCGCAACTAGCAAGACCTGCTCCTCGTCCTCCCTGACCTTGCACAGTAACTGCGCGAGCAGGCTCACTGGGGGAAATGCATATTTTTGCATGCCCCAAAGCAAGCTGTGGGCCAGTGCATCCATGCCGAAAAAACCCATGGTCAGGAAAAAAAAAAAAAAAAAAAAAAACAACTGCAATGAGCATTCTCGGGGGAGGCAAATAGATCGATCTGCGCTTCCCCAAATCGCACCCATATCAGCTGAAAAGACTCGGGGTGGAGTCTCCATTCTCTGGATAGTAAAGGCTGCCGTGAGAGCACATCGGCTGCACGGTCGAGCTTGCCTGGAATGTGAACGGTGCACATCCATTTCATTCATATAACTCCTAGAAGAGCAGAAGGCGAGAAAGCTGATACATGCGATGAGAGTGAATATTCCCCATGCGGTTGATATACGTCACCGCCGACATGCTGTTCGTCCTGACCAGCACCAGAAAAAAATGGTGGAGAGCGAGGAACACCGCCAACAACTCTAAGCGATTGATATGCCAATGCATCTGGGTTCCTTTCCACAACCTGCAGCTGCATAACCGCAACACACAGCCCCCTAGCTCGTGCTAGAAGCATCTGTTGAAACCATAACATGACTGGACGCCTGTCCTAGAGGCACTCCGGCCTGTTGAAATGAGGGGTCGTTCCAAGGGCTGAGGGCGCAGCGACATAGCGTAGTAACAGTGACTTGGTGTGTGCCCCCAAGTCTGATTTATACTTTGATCTATACTTCTGCATCAAATGTGCACAGTGATGCCAGCTTAGCGACTTTGTCACTATTTTTAGCAACTTTTTAAATGATTTAACACTGCGTGTGTGAGTAATTTGTGTGACAGTTTTGTGACAGTTTAGGAACTTGTCTAAGTTTATTCCATCTGAGAGATTACTGCAAATACACTACACATCTATACTGATATACTGTATTAAAAAAAACAACAAATTTAGTTAAATTAACATGCTTACATAAAGTGTAGCAAACATATAAATACCCCTTTAATAACCATATTCTGTTAAACAAACAGAAACGATTGGATGTGATTACGTCAGTAATATGCAAATTGTCTTTGCCATATTCTGACGCTGACCCTGATGTGCACCTCTCAAAAAATATACTGTAACTACATGTAATGGCGACACGTAGTGCAAGGGCTGTAATTAACTGGCTTGATACCAGAGACAAGTGTGGGGAGAGGGACTCAACCCAATGTAGCAGAGCAAGTCTAAAAATGTAAAATATAAAAACATTAAAAATGCTAAAAAGTCCCTGATAAAAATATCTGTTAATTAATACTTCCCTTA